TCTGGGTGTACTTGCCTGGCCCATCCACGTGTTTGACCGAGCGAGCGGGCAAAGCGAGCCAGCGAGCTCGCCCCACGAGCCCATTGGGAAGGCCACGGGCGAGCGCAAGTGGTGACTCTTCGGGGCGAAAGCCACATCCAGCGTTTGGCCTGTAGTCGCTCACTCCCGTGTCCGCACTTAATACTATTTGGCTGCGGGTCAAAAATAGGTGCTCAAAATGGTTTGCCCTGGTAAATGGAAACATGGGCTAAAATCTGCGATCCGATTCCTGGTGGCCGAATTTTGGCCCATACCCATTTGGTGCTGGGCCATTTGTAGAGGCAAGCGTAAAGAGCAGAAGAACAAGAGAAAAAAAGAGAAACAACGTTTTGTATCGCAGACGTGTGGCAGGAGAAGCGGCAAGTCTGGGGCAAGGCGCTTGCGAAACGGCTGGGGTTCCGGTTCCATGCCTGATTGACCTACCCCAAGAGCCGCGGAGCTTCTTTGGCGTTTTGTTTTTTTGTTGGCAAAATTCCTCTCTTTGATTTCCATGTCGACTGAAGCCCTCAATGCACCCCTCATGGTCTAAGTGTGTCACAGATGGAACCCTAGGCGGTCATGGAGAAATCCCGTCAGCTTGTTTGGTCAACCCGGTGCTTTTGGTGGGCATTTGGCCTTGGAAGTTCCTGGACGTTTTCCTGGAGATGGTTTCTTGGATTGTATCTTTGGGGTGATGCTCAACCAGTAATGTTGGACTCTCTTTAATGCCCCCCCCCCCTGAACAGTGGGACTCCCTTTAGTGAAATCCTGGGGGTCCGGGAGGGGCAGTACTTACTTCAGCATTGCCAACTCTACTTTAGTATTGCCAAAGCTCCCTCTCAGATTTATAGTACTTACTTTAGTACTGCCAATTCTACTTTAGTATTGCCAAGGATCGTTTTTTCAGCAACCCCCAAAACCAACTGGACACCAAAGAGGATATCTCAAATTTGATGGTTTGGGGACCACTTCAAGAAAAGGATTTCCCAATGTTTGCCAGGATTTGTTTGCCCGGTTTTTTGCCCGGTTTTTTGCCCGACTTGTTTGCCAAGTTTGTGTGCCATATTTTCCCAGCGTTGTTTCCGACAAAACAATTTTTCCACAATAGAGGACCCCTAAACCAGTCAAACGATCCTGAAGTAGAAACACATTTGTACAATAGAGGGTACTGTTCATAAAGGAGGTGTAACATGAAAAGCACCGCTGCTCCATGCCGCAAGCGACAATCCATTGCTTCGCAGGTTCCATCTTGTTGCTCCAGCATTTTTCTGAGGCAGCTGGCCCAAAAAAGCAACAGCAGGACAAAGAGGAAGAAAACGCCATGGGAAAGAATGAGTCAGCATCACCATTTGGAGGTGCCGGTTTGAGACGAACCAAAAAAGGCTCGCCGCAGACCTCCATCAAAGCGTTCAGGTTCCCCTGTGGCTTGTTTGGATCAGCTTGGACTTGGAACTGTTTGGCAAGCTGCACATCCAAACCATATATGGTTCTTGTGGAAGGAACGCATGAACCCGAAGCTGACGGCTGGGAGATTTGAAGTTTGGTTCCCTGCGGTAACCCTGCATCTCCGTTTCCGAGAGAAGCCCCGGTTGTTTCGCTTACCGCCAGTTAAAAAGGTGCAGCTTCCCGCTAGGGGTGCCCTTCACCTTGGTTCAACCAACACTCAAAAAACCTCACATTTGTTGTAGATCTTCACAATTTTACCCTTGGTGTCCTGTCCCCTTTGAAACACCGTGGCCCAAATGGCGTTTCTGGTTTCTTGACTTTGGTGTCCTCGGCTCGCCATCATCCATAGATCAATGAACCATCCAGGGTTTCACCCAAGCCGACCAAACGGTTTCTCTTCCATTTGCTTAAGACGATATGTTTAACTTTTACTTAAAAAAATGGAAAAATGCGGGGGTCTTGACCAAATGGAAGTTCTCCAAGCGGAGAATTCCCCCCGCTTTTTCGCCGCGGCACTCGCTGTCGCGGCTCGCCGGAGGAGCTGCGCTGGCTGCGGGGGCCCTTGATCGGTCGGGGCTCCTTGGGCCGCGTCTTCAAGGCCTCGGAGCTGGAGCCGCGGCCTGAGACAAAAGGGGTTCCAAGTGCAACAGGGCTGTGGGTCAAACATGGCCCATGGCTCTGGTAAATGGAAAGGGCGAAAACCCGCGGTTTTGCCATGGTTTAATTTTGATCCATACCCACATCCCCTGCAGGGGACAACCCCCAATGAATCAACCATGGTCTTCTAGTCCTGGGTTCCCTTCCGCTTGGAAAGGACCTCCAAGCGAGCCGGTTCAACTCCCGACGAATCCCAGTTTCTTCAAGCCCCACCCAGGACCCATGTGCTTTCCCCCCCGAGGGAAAACGGGGTCCAAGTAAATGGAAAGGGCTAAAACCTGCGGTTTTGTCATGGTTTAATTTTGATCCATACCCACATACCGAATCATACATTTACAAACTCGAAACCCTCGACAAAGAGCATTTAATTTGACCAACATGAGTCAGTCCAACTAATTTCTAGGTGCTAAGTCGCTTCATTTTTTTGTACCCCGAGGGAAACCAGGCGCAAGCGAACAGGAAGAGTCCCGATCCCCGTTAGCAGACTTGCTTATGAGTAGCATGCCCTCACTCACCGCACCGAGGCGAAAAAGACCAATCTTACCAAATCCATTTTAACTACAGGTGTCAACTCCCTTGCCCCGCAACTTCAACTTCAAGGTTGGATGTGCCCTTTCAACTCAACGAAGGCGCAGAAAAAGAAAAAGCGACCCATTTTGGTTTCAGTCGCAGCTCTCCTTCATTGAAGTTGAGGGGCGAAGGGAGTGTGCAGAGAAGATAGTTGGGCGAGAGCTAGCGGCCATGTCTTTGCAGAGCCCAGCATGGCCCAGGTTTAACAAAGCTTCCCTCATGTGAGAACCCAACATGGAAACAAAGCATGCTGTTAGAAGAAGAACCCCTGGTATGAATGGACCGTGGCTTGACTCGAGCAGGACCATCCCCGGAAAGGGTTCGAAATGACCACGGGCTCAGACGTACGCATGAACAAAGTGAATGCACACACATATATACAATTCAATATATATTTATATATGTATATTTTGGCCTTGCTCTCTCTTTATCTACCTAGCTTCTGCACCTGCCTGCTCGGCCTGTTGAGTAAAAAAAAAAAAACATCACTCTTGGGTGTGATGGGCTGGGCTGGCAGCCTCACTTTCATGGTCTGAAAAACCGCCAGTGCTTGAGCCGCCTGCTGTTTTTAAGCCTCTTGCCTAAAGGCGCCAGCCTCCTACCCCGACCTTGGCCCTTGGCCTGCTGTGCAAGCTGTTGTCGCTGCATAGCGTAGTTGGCTGTCTGGGATGCAACGTGCCAAATGTGCTTGGAACGAAACGGGAACTCATCAGGCCTGGTTCTGCTTCCCGACCTTTCTCCGGCCAGATTCCGCTGTCTCGCACTCTGTTGTTTCCTCTTTTGCCAGCCAGGGCCTGTCTAATTGTTGAGGGTACCCCTTGTTTTTGCGGGCCCCCTAAAAAGAGACCCGCCCATATGGAGAAGTCAAGTGATGTGAATATCATGTTCCCACCGGAGAGGGATGCATCCGACTCGGCCTGAGGACTGGCCGCATTTTTGCGGTGAAGGAGGCTCCAAGGGCACGTGCTTTCGAGGGCTGACCCTTCGTCTCGGCTAAAAGGCCAAACCCTCATATATTTTTTTCGGAACCACGTGTATTTTTTCTGGGTTCCGTTGTTTTTCCCCTCTGACCTTCTAGTTGTTGCATCACCTTTTGCTTGCTTGCGTGCTTGCTTGGCATCGTGCCCTTTCTTTGGTCAACCTTTGGTGATTTGACCCCCGTGGTTCTTGTGGATGGCTGGGGAACAACAGCCCGGAACGCTTCCAAACCACCAATTAGAGGGACCCCGCTGGCCCTAAGAGAAACCAAAATGCTCCCCAGAATGACCTTCTTTTTTTTGCTTTTTTGTGGTCCGTTTGTTTTCCACTGACCAGGCATCGACTGAGAACAGCTCGCATGGATACTTGGTGCGCGTGGTTGGCTCCAATCAACGCATGAAGATGGCAGCGGATTACAAGATCTTAGGCAGCTTGTCCCAGTCCCTGCGACTTATAAGGCGTTTGCAAGGCCAACTTGGGTGTTTGAGGCTTCAGAAGATCAGCAACGGCTGGCATTGTGTAGATGGTGCAGGCATTGCCCATTTAGAGCAGTGAGTCCAGTGGCCGGCACTGACGGCGCGCTTAGGGGATGTTGTCTTTGGATGTTGGATAGCACCTCTTTGTCCGGGGGTGCTACTTCCAGGCGGGGCTGCAGGTGTGAAACAGTTCGCCCTGTAGCTTTGGCTTAGCATGGCATACCCAGTGAGTCACATCTCTCCCTCCCTTTCGGGGGAAAGGACTGGGTAAAATTTGCTAGGCCCTCCCCTCCCCCGCTTATTGAGGAACAGTTGTTTTGTTTTAAACAGGGTGTTGGGAGCTCCCGGTTCTTTTTTTTTGGGGGGGGTCTCAAATTTGGGCCCGCCATGCTCCGCTTGCCTTCGCAGAAGTGGGTGCGAGCAAGGAGCATGCCCACTGAGCCAGCCCCTGTGTCACGCAAACCGCCACCATGTTCCTCAGAACTTGGGAGCGATGGAAGGCTGCCTCACTTTTCTCCCGTGGCAATCCACTGCGCGTCTTGTTGTCAACGATTCCTGCGCATCTTCGTGCAAATTTGGCTCAGGGCACGAAGCCGAGCGGCTCGCGAAACGGCAGCCATACCGCACCACTTTGCCAAACCAGAGCCAAGCCGAGAACTTGAGCGTCCTGAGAGGGCTCAATGCTTTGGATGTAGGCTGGGTGCTCAAAAACAGAAAAAGCGAATCCTCAAGGAATTAGCGAAGGGGGATGATGTTCAATTTGTCCGCACCACCCACCCACCCAATAAAACAGGCACTCACGGTGGACTTTACGGGGTCACATCCCACAGCCAACAAAACAATCAAACGTTTTGGGTTCGAAGCATCGCACCCGGTGCGATGCACTGATCCGCAGCATCCGCGATGGGCGGAGCACCGTTGTGTTCCCCCAGGCGATTTCTCGGAGTTCGGAGATCGAATGCGAGGGATGGGAAGGGAGGGCAATTTGGGTTAAGTGGGGCGCATCCGGCCGGTTTTGTGAGGGCTTGGAAACAGGAGGGGAGTTGGGGGACGGGGTCCCGGCGGTAAAAGCGTGGCGTGTTTCCTTGGGGGACTGAAATCCCAAAGAAGTGGCCGGAGCATCTTTTCTGGTGGCCGGTTTGTCTTTTTTGTTGGACTTGGGGTTCTCTGTGCTCCGAAACACGGCGCTGTCCTGTCTGAGTTCGGGTTACCCATTTTGAGGGAGAGTGGCAACCCCACGATTCGAGGAGATCATGGGATCTGATTGGCGAGTGATCTAAAAGTCCCGGGCCGGCGACATGAACCAAGGTCCGACAGCTGGCGGTTTTTTTGGCACCGAAAATCCGACTGGCGAGTATTTTTAAAAAAAGGGGACAGATGTGACACTGCCTGAAGGGATCGCTTTGGAAGGTTATGTCACTGGAAGGTTAAGTACCCCAAAATTGAGCCTTCTGCTTGTTCTCTTCTCCACTTAAAGGCTCACATCTTTGGGCTGTTGCTTGATCACGCGCACATGGATCTTGACTCGGATTGGAATTCCAGATCCGGTAGTTGGGTGTACCTCAACGTTCTTTTTGGGGGGAAGCAACGAAAAGTCTGGCGATTCAGAGCCACGCCGTGGTACATTGGCTTGGATGGTTGCAATGGGCTCTGGGCTCCTCTTATGGCTCTGAATGAGTTCAAACAAGCGAAAGAAAACCAGCAGGCAAACAGGGGGGGGTGTTTCGGCCAAATTTGCTCAGATCCTCAGAATAACAACCCCCACGTTTGCTTCCAATGAAGCGGAGGTTCCCACACAATATTTACAAAATGCAAGTGCCAAATCAATGACCGTTGCATACAAGTGAATACATTTATGCAAAGAAAACAGGTGGTGTAGACAAACAAGGTTTTCCAAGTGGCCCATTTCAAAAGCTGTGTTATGAACAACACCCTTAAAGTTGCTCTAATTGAGTATGCTATTTCTGTCAGTATACTACGTGCGTATCAGCGCAAACGGCGAAAGGCGATTTGATCTGAGCTCCTACGGGCGCCCGCTCGATTCATAGGCACGATTGTTGCGGCACCGCTGCTGCGGAGGTGTGGAAGGGGGGGGGGGCTTCGCGCTGGGGTATTCTCCAAGTGTCTTTTGTCCAGTGTTGGAAGCAAACATGAAGCAACATTTGAAACATAATATATATATATATATATATTCATATATATATATACATATCTATTCTACCCTAGCGTTGGGCTGGGATAGGTGATCCTGATTTGCAGCGCTGACATGGTGTCCCAACAATGAGTGGCACCTCCCCAGAAATCTCCTGGTTGCGCCCATAGGCTGGGAGTCTTTTTAAGAAGACCGCAGCAGGAATCCACGCGGCTTGCTGTTGAGGAGCTCTTTCATTGGAGACACCCACGCTTGGTTACATGGGGCAATGCAGTCCTTGCAGTGGTTTAGTTTCCGGAAGTCATTCGCCGTCGTTTTTGTCTGTGTGTGCGTTTTTGCGGGCAGGGGCGTGTGGGGGGGGGCGGAGTTGTGGCCTTTGGACCGGGCAGTTTTTGCATTCCACGCCAGGCCGCGGCCGCGTCGAGAAATATCGAGGAGCATCTTCCGGAGGAGCTCAGCCGGAGACGGACGAGAACGGCCAGCTTTGCAGTTCTGATACGGCGAGCTCAACGATTCGTGTTTTTTTGTTTTTGCGGAGAGTATACGGTATACAGTACTTGTTTGTATTTTTTTGGCCCCTTGTACTAGATGTTGTCCAAACACGCCAACAAGGACTTGAGCCGCTTGCTCACAAACTGCGGGTTAGTAAGGGGCACCCCCGGGTCCCATGGATAGGTGCGGCCGCCCTGTTTGATTCTTTACCCGGACGCCACTTGAGTACCAGGTGTCACTTGTTTACATGTGCTTCAGGTCGGACAGGAATTGGGGCCCAATCCTGAAACCCTCTCCTTGGTGATCAGCTTGGATTCCGTGTTGGGGGGAAGCCACACATCAACACCATATATTTGGAAAATTGCAGGCTTCCATCCATTCAAGTGCCACTTTACAAGATGGTCTTCCGGTGATGTAAGCCCAGGTTTGTTCAGCGCCCTTTTCACCCCCAACGCGTTGCATCCTTATCAAAACTTCAAGACATCCACCAAAAGCGGGCTTCCCCCTCCCAAAATTCTAGGATGTGGACCATCACCCTCCCCCCGCCCCAACCCCAGCCCCCCCCAGCCCCTCCCCCCCCCGAAGCCCCCCGGGCGTTTCGGCGCGAGGAGCTTCGGCATGGCACCAACATCGACGGCGCCTGCTGCCTCTCCTGGGCCTTGGGATCTCGCTCCGCGCTGAGCCCGGCGGCCCAGACGGCATCCCCCACGATGCCAAGTTCGAGCCCGACCCGACCTCCCAAACTGCATCCCCCCCCTTCTCCCCACGAAAAAAAATGAAAGAAGATAAAACATCCCCTGAAGGTGCTGACCCTGGCTTCGGGTGAGTTTCCGTGGTGCAACCGGCCCAAAAGAGCTCACAGCCATGTCAGCATGTCCTATTGGGGCTTCGGCCCCGCGTTTCCCCAATCAACTGACGCCTTTGCCACTGCCAGACCCCCTCAAAAGGCCAAACTTGCGGCCCAATGCTTGCGCAGTACTGTCCGCCTGCTCGACTTTTTGCATTTCGTGATTGGCCCATCTACCTAGATCGAACACAATAGAAGGTCCTTTGGGGTTCGGTTCAACCTTATTCAGGGGTTGCTCCATTTCCCTTTTGTCACCTTCAAAAGTGGCAGTTTCAACGGACACCACCAGTAGATTGCAACTTTAGGGAAAATCCAATTTTTCCCCATTTCGCTGCTTTTTCCAAGGCATCGACATGGTGAATATCGAGAAGCTGCACGAGCAGCTTGGGCGGCTTGGCCGTCAGCTTGGCCTACGCCAATGTGGACCCCGGAAAATAGCAATTGACCCCTCCTCTCCTCCAATGAAATCCCCAGCAAAAGTGGACATTCCACCATTCATCAACCAGTTGTCAACTCCGGGGCCGCCAGTTTTTGACACATCAGTTTGGCCATGCAGAACTTGCCCTTTGCCACCAAACAACAAAACGGCAGTTCTGACAGTTTTGGGCACAAGGGCTGAATCATGAACCTCGTTTTCCCATGGTGACATGATTTGGTGTTATGGTACCCCTACCTGAATTTGATTATTGTGCTCCAGGCACCCTCAAACAAATACACACATGCACTTGTATCACTTAAGGGTGTTTTCACCCTTGGTGTGTTATTCTAATTGTTTAGGCCCTTGTAGAAACCCTGTGTTGTTGTAAGCGGAGCGAAGATCAGTTCAAGCAGCCTTACGTCTGTTGGCTTTCCACAGGGCAAGTCCTGGCTATACACAAAGAACAAAATTCCCGACTTGATTGCTTGTTCATGGTGTCACAGAAAATTTGCAACAACAACATACCAGAGGGTTGGAGTACCAATGTTTCAGCAGGTGGTTCATTACTGGGGCTTCTTTGGCCAGCTATTCAAATCAAAGCGCTCGCATGCCTTCCTGACAGACATGGCAGCCATGGCCACGTTTCAGAAGCTGAAGGTTTGTTTTGCCGCAGGGCACAGGTCTGTAGCCATGAGTTGTTGCTTGTTTGCTTCAATCTGGGCTGGCTAACACGCACGCACACCTACGACTTACACAACAGGAAGACAACCATGTTGGCGAGGAATATGCCATGATGAAAAAGAAGCAGGCCTGACGATTGTCGCCCTTCCCTTTCAAAACATGAGGAACGGCTTGTGATTTGATGTGATTTGACAATTGCAGCTCGTCCGTCGCAATACCGCGCCAGTCTTTCAATGGCAGCACGCTTCAAAAAAACTCCCCATGTGTTCAGCCGGCAAGTGTTTGTGGCTGTAACTTGGCCCGGCCGGGCTTCGTTCGAGGCTGTAACATTGAGAACATTTGGAGGCCCCTATCGCACGTTAGCCCCGGATTGATAAACCCCTGGTTGATTAATAGAGTCCCTTTTAGTGGGGGTTCATCACTTTTGGAGGGAACACCCCACTAAGAATGGGACGGGTTTATTAATCCTGGGTCAACATGACGCGACGGGCTCAGGAGCTGTTTGCAGTTCTTCCAAGCGGATCTGGTCGAAGGCACTGCCACCAACGGCCTGATCTTGGGCGCCGCGCCGGCACTTCAGTCGCTCACTCGCCAGGCGTTTCAATTGCGCTGAGAGGCGGCCAGGACGGCACGGCGTGGCAGGTCTCCGCGGCTGTCTGAAACTTCCAGTTGCTTAAGAATATGTGTTATTGTCCCTTGTTGGTGTTAAAAGGAGATTACCACTACTGGACTTGTTTTTATTTTTTTCCAGGGGTCCAAGCCAAATGGAATCGGAAGGAAAGATTTGGAGCAGATGGTGTTTTTTTCATAACCCCGGCTGGGCATAGTGTTGGGGACTGGTTCTCGGTTGGTGACGTTATTGCACTCGGAAAGTGAGGGGGGATTGCTTGTTCTGTTGGCCGGTCTGGGGCTGGAGATTGGCCTTGAAAGCAGATACACCGCGTGATCTTGTGTTTTTGTCTACTGCTGCAGCTAAAGTTCGGCATGTTTTTGCCAGGCACTTGAAACAGAACTGAGCAGCGTCCAAAACCTCCGTGTACATGTTTAGTAAGAGTCACGTCATATCGACCAGCGCGCAAGGAAAAACTCCACGCGCGTAAGGTGGCGTAAGCTGGTGGCGTAAGCAAAACCTCCAAATGTGTCGCGTAAGCAAAAACTCCACACGCGTAAGGTGGCGTAAGGTGGTGGCATAAGAAGAATGATACGACATAGCAAATCATGACACGTTTAGGACATGGCTCAACTAGCTTTGGCAGAAGTCCTGGCGAGACCTTCGGCGATTCAAGATGCAGATAGATGGAGTTGTTTCCATTGTTCATGTTTTGTGTTTTCTTTGGAGGCTAGGATGCCTATCAGCATTACCAACTGGGTTCGGAGCCTGTGCGGGCCCCTTGATCCTATTGTTGTCTCTGATGCATTTGCGAGTGGAATTGCCCCACTGCATATCCGATTCCACACTGAACAGTGGATGGGCCGACTTCAAGAAAGGGATCCCTGAGTTCTAAAGTTGCCGGGCTGCGGATCCCGTGGATCGCAGACGTTCCTGTCGCTGTCCCGCACTTGAATGTCTGCACCGAGGCCCCACAGACACCAGGAGCGGAAGCAACATGACAGCGGCTGACGCCATGACCCGCATGGGCCAGTTATTGTGCAGGCACGCGGGCGGAGACTGGCCGTCCAGGAAATAAGGTGGGTTGCCTACACCCCTGAATGGAAATTGGGGAAGGAGCGTGACCTCTGAAGTTCAATTCATAGTGTCGTACTCTCTTTTTAGAGGCAGGGCTAGAAAACATGATTTGGCGGACCCCCCCCGGCCCGAGCAAATGGTGGGTCAAGAAGACGGTGGTGAACGTTCAAATTGCCCGCAAGAGAATCACTTACGGAAGGCGGGACAGCCAGCCCCAAGCACGTCAAGCAGTCAGTATGAACTTGGAACTATTTCCAATGCCCGCACTGGGCGCTGGGGTGTAAAAGGACATCATTGACGCACCTGAACCTCTGTGTGATTTGCAGGTCGGGGAATCGATTGCTGCGTTTCAGGCGGCAATATGTTAAAGCATGCTGGTCGCTTTGGTCCTGTAGACCTGCCAAAACGAATCATTATTGGCACATTCTGCCGGGTTGCTAAACTCCCGAACCCAGGGATTCCCTTACAGGAAGCCACGGGGGATGGTTTTTCTTGGGTCATTCCCTCATTCCCTGCCTGTCGAAACAGCAAGCTCTCAAAACTTCCTACCGCCAGCGGTGCAGCCGCTCTTATCCGACGTCACCTGATGACATGTTTGAGTGGGACACTGAGCTGGCGTCAGGTGGGCTGCTTCTCAGATCCCCCCGCTGCAGATCTACATAGGCGAATTCGCTGCCTCGGGAGCGCAGTTGGGGTTCTGCAACATGGGCTTGTGACACGGCTTGTGTCATAAAATTGCGGCCTCGAAATGGTTGGTCTCCTTTTGAATTCCCTGCAAACCCGCCCAAATGTGTGCCCTCCAACGCACACATGCAGATGATACATTTCAGGGTCTGAATATGAAGCAGAAGCTTAGCCGAACATAAAAACATGAGCCCCGCAGATGGGCATGGTGAAGCAATGTGAGGCGGTGCTTGAGGTCAACTTAACTACCCTCACCGGGCACCAGAAAAAACCTCCAGTTCATCAGAGGGAAAGTGACATGGCCTTCGCGAAGATACCAAAATGCAAGACAGGTCACATGATTCAAGGCAGCAAAGCTGAGTGAAGTTTCGCAGCCGCAGACTGCATTGTTCCTCCCCCAGGTCCTCCAGTAGAGAGGTTAGAATCAGGGTACCCTTTTTTCTGGTTTCTATGTAGTAGGGGAACCCTCCCCAAAAAAAGGTAAACGGGCACTACTGAGGGACCTACTCCCATGTTTGGCAATTTTTGTCATGGCCCCAAAAAGTTAACCTTTTTTATTTGTGAGTCCGGGCCTTTGCTGACATCCAGGAACCCGTTCAGATCTTTGCAACCGTGTGACCTGGCCAATGCCGATACCATGTGATTTCAATAGCTTGCCTACCTCCAACGGTTTGGCTGCGGCTTTTTTGAATCCACCTAGTAGCCCTGTACTTCCGGTTACGTACCATCACAACCAGGCATTTTTCCGTCTAGGTGTTACATGTTTTCCCCTGGTAGGATATTGAAAGAGTCCGGAACCGCTTTCCGGTAGCCTGAATGTATTATACTAACCGTATCTCATTTCTTTGCCGCCTTTTAAGGATGCGCAAATGCGGAAACTGGTAGATCGTCTTCTGTCAAGGCCACTGCCTCTTCCCTTTTTGGCCTGGCAAGCTCCACTTAAAAGTACCGGGGCCGCTTGACGATGAGAGCTTCAGTACCCTCGGTGCGTGGTTTCTGGAAACTTGTTTGACGTTTGGGTGAGCATAAAAGGGCTTAGCAAGAATGTAGACGCCAGGGCTTGCTACTCGGTTGCATCGATCTTAGTCATTCTCCCACTCACCTGCAGCAAGTGAAACTTAGATCTTCAACCCTTTTGCCCGGAAAATTACCAACAACAAAAAAGACTCCCGCAAAAACCCGGCATTGTCTCTGGAGAGGGAGGGAAAAGCAAAAGCGCGAAGCTTTGGGGATCAGGGCGGTTTGCAGCTGGCTTTCTCCAGGCATCGAAATTGGCTGGCTGGTGGTAGTGGAGCTGCCGAACACCCGGCAGCTCTCCTGCTTCGGCCGCCTGGCCGAAAAAAGAGAAACGGGCGTTTTCGGGTTCGGCGAAACTCCCGGAAAAATGGCAAAGTGGCTCAAAAACGTGGCACCAAAATGGCACCAAAATGGCACCAAAAGGTCAATGGAACCAAAGACTAAAACCCGAAACCAGTCCCAGCTCTTTAATTTTGAACCATACCCAAACGTCTATGGTATGTGTCAACATAAAGATGGCAGGTGCTATGTTGGTTTTCCCTTTCAAGTTCTGAAACCACTGAGAACGTGGAGTTTCAACAGCGCACATGTATAATGTTGGTTGGTTTCTCCTTTGAACTGCTGAAGCAACTGAACACGTGGAGTTGTAAAAGCACATTTCGTTCTGGAAGGGGTTGCTAGTTTTCGTTTCCCGTTGCCGGTTGTTAACATCGCTGAGTTGCCTTGGTTAGATTTAGTTTTTTGCGGTTTTCTATTTGTTTTTCTTAGGCCTTACCCATGAAGGTTCATTTTTTGAGGGTCCATCGTAATGAGTGAACTCTTGCGCTCCGCGGGGGCGGCCTAAAGAAAACGTGTCTAGCCTGGTAGCTTAGTGGGGTTTGGTAATTCAGTGGCCTCAATTTCCCACTCCTCCCCCCCGCTCGCGTTGTCGCATTGACGGAGGCCTCTACCGACCGTATGGAGATGTCCTCATGGGCGGTTCCTCCCCTCACTTGCCCAAAGAACTTGTAAATAAAAGGTTAGCCTTTTGAGACCTCTGCTAAAAAATCGACCAAAAAGGAAAAACCAAGAGGTCAAAAGGTCGGCTTTGAACAACTGAGTCCCATGTTCATGCCCGGAAAGTAGGCAGACAAACACTTGGGCAACTTTCAGTCGTTGGCCGAGAGGTCGATGCATAAAGCGTGTTTCAAAGTGACTGGGAGAATCTTTCTCTATCCTTGTGACTGGCAGAAAGGGCGCAGGAGTGTTTTGGGAAGGCCCCTTCCAGGCGGTTCTATGGAAGCTCCCCCTTAAGGTTCACAGAACGCCACTTGTGACTTGAGTTGGGGTGCTAAAACCCTTTTCTCTACCTCCATTGTCATTGACAGAGGGTAAGATGTCTTCACAAATGTTGTTGGCAACAGGTTGCAGGTTGTTGTTGTTGTTTTTTTTGGGGGGGGGTTCTGTACATTCTTTCCTCTAGGGGGCTGGCTGCACAAAGAATCACCACTGTTTTTTAGGCGAATCGCAGCGAGCACTCAGCACTACCGAGGCTCTGCCCCGGATGGAGCAAGACGGCTCTGCGTGCCTCAGCCCGAACTTGTCGAATCGCTCGCGGCGGGTCGGGCCGCCAATCCAAATCGAGCCGCAATTTGGTTGCCCATAACACCTGCCATAAGATGCCCAGATAAATTGGATGTTGAACAATCCGAAATTTGTGGTTTTGAGCTGGTCAACGACGTTCGAACCTTCATGCTGTTGTTTGGAGTTAGTGTCGCAGCCCTAGGTGTGTTTGAAAGTTCACACTTGCATCGGGACGATGTTCTGCAAAGGCCAACTACCACATATCAATTGCAAAGCATGCCATACTTGGGCCTGGCAAACATTGTACGCGGGCTTCTGAAGCTGTGTGCATTATGGTGCATCCCAATATTCATATGTTTGATAAATCCACATTATTCCGAAAGCTGTCCTTGAAGAGGCTTGAGGTTTGCACCATCTTGTACTTTATGGGGAAGGTGGCAGTTTTAGTTGGCAATCTGGGTATGGACGCCTTTGGAGGCGTCCATGAGTGCCTCTTACACTGACTCAAGCGCAAGAAAAGGTTTACACCCGCCACCCATTGTTTGGCGGCATGGCATGTGTTGCCGCCTTGGAAACATGCGCTTCGCCGGGGCAAGGATAAGACTTTCACAAACATGTACAATCCGGGCGGGAAAAAAAACGCAGGTTGGCCCCGGGTACCAGCTCCACCCCTTTCACGAATTTTGTCTTGCTTTTGACTTGTAGCAAGGGCATGTTTTCCCAGCGCCCCGCGTTGGCCCAAGTGGCGTGCGACAAGCCCTATTGGCCTGTTTCTAGGAAATGTCGAAGCCCTAACATGGGGGGTTTCTTTGGTGTTCCTTTTTCCTCCGAAAAAGGGTATGGAGTCGCAAGAAGGCGCAGCGATATCTTCATAGCCGACTCTAGTTCAAATAGGCAGTCAGAACAGAAAAGATCCGGCCCGTTTGTTTGATGGCACGTGGGGAAGGCCTGAAAGGCCGAGAGAGGTGACCCGTTGAACCCTGGGGGGCCTGAGACAAGTGAGCAGAAGACGAGCTTTCGGCTTTCGAGGAAGCCTCCATCAAGGAGGGCACCGTGCACGTGTCAACGGCTGTGAGGCGGATTCATCGAAGGGGAAGCCAGCCGTGAATAGGAGGGGCGTTTATGAATCCACTTGACTCGGTTCTTGGGAAACATGTTTCCCATTTTTGATCTTATTGTGGTTTAGTGGTTGGAATCCAACCACTTGGCTGCGACAATTTCATTTTTTGCTCCCCTTTCAACGTCAGCCAAGTTGAAACATGATCCCTCGAAATGAGTGGGGTGTGGTGCGAGGTGCCCCCCGACGGCAAAAGCTTGACTCGAGTGCCCGAAGAGACACTAGCGCACACCTAAGAATGCGCTCCCCCCTATCCGCTCGACTTTTTCCGGCAAAATGACCAGGGCCTGAAATGTTTATGTTGAAGGCACACGAAAGAGACCCCGGTGCGCCGGTGCAAAGTGTGCAAGCCACCTGCTGCAAAGCAAGCCATTGGGCCTCATTGGCCAAAACCGAAGCCCCAAGCAGCTTCCTACATTCCATTTGAAGGTGATGAAGGGTCTGCGCATTTGTTGGAGGTCTTTCAGGGGCAGCGAAAGGGAAAGCCAGAGTGTTGGGACGCTCACGCCCCTGCCAATTTTAGAGTGAGCTCACATAGAATTAAACGAGCTCACCATGATAAAGGTCCTTTACCTGGGGGTGCCGATTCTTAGTTCGTCTGCTGAAACTATAACAAATCAGTTTTTTGTTTACCTTGTTGGGCTTTTTTCTATCAGCACGATTTTGGGGGAGCTCGCCGAAAAGACGACACGTTTTTTTTTGGCCGGCGGAGCCGCTTCGACATCGGTGGCTTCAGGGGCCAGCTGAGCGCATTGCGCTTCCTGCCGATGATCATCGGCAGCAGCAGCACCTACTACCTCGAGGCGGCTTGCGGGGCTTTTGCTGAGCGAGCTGGGAGCCGGTGGGGACCCCCTGCCGGGGTTTTCAAGAGAAGCCAAAAGGAAGCCAACCATGTTTGGAATCAGCATCCATGCCTCCAAGACTTTTACACCTAGAGATGCATTTGAAGCTTACAAGAAGGTTACACTTAAATCTCTCAGAATTGGCACCCGGTGCATTATTCCAAGCGACCAGAAGGCGTTTTTTTTTTTTTTTTTTTTTCTCTCGGGGAACGGGGCCCATTTCAAGAAACATGATTCCTAGTGGGGCCAGCCTGTGTTTGTTCTTTTTGAGGGGGGCACGTGCTGAAGCTAGGAAAAAAAGCAGTTGGTTACGTCTGTCGAGCGTTAAAAAAAACGTTCCTGCCCCCTTCAGACGTGTTTGGCCGCGCATTTCATGAGCCAATCTTGTAACCTCCGAGATCCAAGCTGACAGATCCCATGCCCTGCAAGGGCCTATGGCTACCCAGTTGGTTCTTGGATGCTCTGGATGAATAATTGATAAACCCCTGGTTGATCAATAGTGTTAATAGGTGAGTGCACCCTTCCAGAGAAAAATCGCCTTTGGATGGGGAACACCTCTATTAGTAGGGCAAGTTCATTGATCCGTGTGGTGGAGCAAACTCAAGTTCTAATCCGGGAGGAGCCTTTGTTCTAGGACGTAAGCTAGGATGCGGGCTCACGCATGAAGGTCCTCTCGGGGGGCTTCCTCTAGTTTGAGGATTATAGTAGTAGTTTGTGTGGAGGAAAGAATGTGACTTGCACCAGCTGTTGTTTGCTTTTCGGGCTACCCTTTTCGTAGCCAACATTTCAGGTTACCCTTAGGTGTGGATTGGATCTCAACCTTTTCAGGGCCATACTGGGAAACCGCTCCAAACACCAAATCACCCGTCCAAACATCACCAAACCGCCGACCGCCGACCTCCGACCTCCGACCTCCGACCTCCGGCTCCGCCCCTGGCCAGGCCTTCACCGAAGTCCTGGACGGATCTGAGGCGGACTCCGGAGAGCTCCGGAAGTCGGGGTCCATGCGCCTCGCCAACCCAGAGCCCCCGCAACCCCCCCCCCTCCCGGGGTTCGGGTAGGTGGGTCTTGTTATTTTCTCTCCCACGCGAAGGATCTGTCATATTGATCATATGTGTTTTGTTTGATCTGCTTTGTTTTTTGTTGTTGTTTTTTTGGGCGGAGGCTGCGCTTTTTAGTTCTGATGTGCAAGTTGCCCAACTCCACAACTCCACAACCCCACCTCACCCCCCATTTCCCCAACACCAACCTTTTGACCTTTTGATTTTCCCACGTTGCGAGGCCCAAAGCTCCACCAAGAATATGAGGTTCCCAAAAGGGTGTCGAGTGAGGAGTCCGGGCCTCTCCCGGAGGAAGGGATTTCGACGTTGCTTGGACTGGGGCGCTCATTGGTTCACCTTGGACGTCATGGGTCCAATGCGCAAAGGAAAACTCCAAAAGGGCGTAGAATATAGGAACTTGAGCGACACCTGTCCTGAGTTTGGAGCAGGGCCGCGTACACACATGTACCATCGATAGTTCCCACTAGGCGGGGCGGGGTCATCCTGGTTTGAGCCACAGCACAAGTCCATCAGCCCACCAAGAGGGTGAGCAAGCAAACAAGCCGTCACTTTCCGTTGGTGGGACAGGGGTCCACCGTTCACAGCACAGGGCCATCAGCCCACCAAGAGGTGAGCAAGCACAAGCTGTCACTTTCCGTTGGTGGAACTGGAGTCCACTGTTCACAGCACAGGGCCATCAGCCCACCAAGAGGTGAGCAAGCACAAGCTGTCACTTTCCGTTGGTGGAACTGGAGTCCACTGTTCACAGCACAGGGCCATCAGCCCACCAAGAGGTGAGCAAGCACAAGCTGTCACTTTCCGTTGGTGGAACTGGAGTCCACTGTTCACAGCACAGGGCCATCAGCCCACCAAGAGGTGAGCAAGCACAAGCTGTCACTTTCCGTTGGTGGAACTGGAGTCCACCGTTCACAGCACAGGGCCGTCAGCCCACCAAGAGGTGAGCAAGCACAAGCTGTCACTTTCCGTTGGTGGAACTGGAGTCCACTGTTCACAGCACAGGGCCATCAGCCCACCAAGAGGCGAGCAAGCAAACAAGCTGTCACTTTCCGTTGGTGGGACAGGGGTCCACCGTTCACAGCACAGGGCCGTCAGCCCACCAAGAGGTGAGCAAGCACAAGCTGTCACTTCCCGTTGGTGGAACTGGAGTCCTAAATCCACAGCACAGGGCCATCAGCCCACCAAGAGGTGAGCAAGCAAACAAGCCGTCACTTTCCGTTGGTGGAACTGGAGTCCACCGCACCATAAAATCATTTTCTGCAAAGAACGGGTGCCGTATCACCCGTACCTATGTTCCAAAAGGGCGTAGAGAGCCCAATTGGCGTGCGATGTTTTTTTTTTTTTGTCAAATGGGGTTGGCCCTCTGGAGCTCTTGCACGCAACTTTTGCTTCCCGTAAGAGGCTACGTCCTTTCCGGCTGCTTGGATGGCTTCACGGGGTTGGGGCCTTGCTTTGGGTGCTTGATGCAGCTGAACGCCTCGGGGTCTCTGCCCAAACAAACTCTGTTCGGTTGCTGGGGGGTTGGGGTTGAGGTGTGGGGGGGGGGGGGGGGCAAGCAGGCAGATTTCAGGGAGCTCGGGTTCAGCCAGGAAGGTGATGGGGACTTGCTCTCTCAGTGATGAACATTTATTCAGATTCCTTAGTTGGTCTTGGCATGGATATTGTACACTTCTGTCATGCGACTGGGCAAAAAGCAGTCAGACATCAAACAGGTGCTGCTGTCTAGAGCCAAAAGTCGATGGGTGCCGCTGTCAAATCAAGGAGCCATGACCATAACTTTGGACCATGGTACGTGCGGGTTGGTGTCAAACATAGGGGACCCAACATGGTGTTGTTCCTTTGAGTTGTTCTTTCATTCACTCAGTCGTCCAAAGCCGACCTTTTGACCTTTTGGTTTTCCCATGTTGGTCCATTTTTAGTAGAGGTGCCAAAAGGTTAACCTTTTAGTTCTAGTTCCTTTGGGCAATTGAGTTCACGTAAAACCGAAAGCGGGCGCCCTCACAGCCAATGGGTGGTCCTTAATCGTCCTTAGTGGTCCCGAATAGTGGCTGGCACCTTGTAAGGCGAGACATCCGGGTCCCCATCCCAAGAAGGCTTCCAATGCCTTTCGAAGAACACTGGGAAGGCTGTTAAGAACTTGTTTTTTGGGTGTCAAAATCACTAGGAAGGCCTTCATCCCAAGATTCTAAGAAGGCTCCCAAAGCCTTTCGAAGAACTCTAGCAAGGTCTTTTTCGTGTCTTTTGCAGCCTTACAAGCATGAACTACAGCTACCCCACTGAAGATGCCACTCTCAGGTTGGCCATGGTGACCAGTAGCGAGACGGAGGAGAAGGCGCGCGCTGCGGAATAGTTTTTGTGTTTTGGGCCAGCAACCCCGGGGGGGGGGGTTCACCAAGAGGGGATGCCAAAGCGGGAGGGAGGGAGGGAGGGAGGGAGGGAGGGAGGGAGGGAGGGAGGGAGGGAGGCAAGGAAGGAGAGAAAGAGAAAAGCGGAGAGAGGGAGAGAAAGGACAGAGAGAGAGGAGCCAGGTTCTGTTTCCAAGCCTTGCGAGATGGCACCAAAATATATGGTATCCAGCTGCACCGGAGCTTCTGGAAATCGCCGCCCTTATGGCGCAGAGCTTTGCACTCACCAAGATTGAGATGTGGGTTTCTCAATCTAAAAATGGGTCTCCTCTTCCAACTTGCTAAGGGTTGACTCCTTTTCCCTTCTTTCCAACCATCGTTCTATTTGAAAGCCGGATCCGTTTCCCTGGGCTTCCGGAGGTTTTCTAGAATCTAGAAAGATTTGGATCCCTGGAAAGAATGGAAATGGAAGGTAGCACCAGATCCATGGAGAAGCCCCGTGGGATCCCCTGAAAATTCACACCTTCAGAGGCATGGAGCGACAAATGGCCCAGACTTCTCCCGCAGGGCTCAAGAGGGCAGTGCTTCGCCCCGTGTCGCCCATGGCGCGAAGATGACATGGGCCCACTGGGCCCTCGGTGTTTTTTCCCTGGCCTGGCCCTTGCTGCTGCAAGGCCGGAGCGGACGGACACGATCCGATAGGAGTCAGGGAGTCACAAACGAAGGGAATGATTCGGACCCGAATGATTCATGGTTTAGTTGTTCTACATGTTCAGATAGCATAGTAAACAAATTGTTGTACATATTCATGGTTTAATTGTTGTACATGTTTCACTAGTAAAAAACGAGTCCTTGCGTTTTAATTGCGGGGGCCTGCCTCGCCTTCGCCTGCTTCGCAAATTGGTCGAAGGATGTGGTGTTGGAGCTAGCTTGGATCTTGCTTAAATTAACGACGACCCTGCTGCGGTGGCTGGCCCGCTTGGGCTGCACGTGGATTCGTTGCGAGACTGCTCTGCAAGTTGCAGCTTGGATATGCATGGATTGCCGGGCCTCGTGGAAATCCCTTAGACATCACCCTTTGAGCCATGTTAAATCCGTTTCCTGTCGGGGTGAGGTTGAAGGGGACATGGGCCCTGTTTGCCGGGATCGAAATTCAGCTTGGTTGATGACGTGCACGGGATCTGTACAAACCAACCATTGGACGCAAGCGGCACCTCGGAGCTACAGGTGCATGGCTTGTTTGGCAAGGGAAACCAAGGGGAAACCAAAGGAACACCGAAGGCAGGGAAACCACAGGCACCAAAGCGAGCATATGGTTGTACGAGGGAAGTTGATTTCCTACCCGTTTGGGCTCGACTCATGGAGGGGCGCCACAGAATGGGTCCTTTCCAAATGTGTTTTCCGCATGATCTGCATGAGACTCCTGACGAAGCATGAAGCGCGTTGTAAAAGCTGGCGTTCACCTCTTTGCACTCGAGTTTTCAGCTGTCCGGTTTCCAGCACGAAGTTGAAAAACCAACCGGAACCAAGGACCTGGAAGAATTGGCCACTTTCAAAAATACCGCCTGCCGGTGTTGCATACCTGCCACCCTTTTCCTTGGCCGATCCCCTCTCGAAGGTTTGAGTGGATTCAGGAAGCCTGTTTTAGGCTGTTTTTGACCTTCAGTGAACAATCTACCCCCCCACCCTTTACACATGGAACTTGACAGGAACCTGGTCGCTTTACTTTACAGGGAGAATGGTCCAAACCAGGACCCCCGAACGTCAGGTTCCATGTTAATGTGGGGGGGGGGGTAAATCCCTTTTTGCTTGGCTTCCGAACTACAAACAGATGACCAAAGGGCGGACCACCTAGAAAAGTTGTCAAAATGGTGAACCAACCGATGGTTCACCCCAGTACCAAAGAAATGTCAAATGGTTAACCCCATTTGTCCTTTTTCACCACAAATGGACACAAACCCAAAAAGAGTTCCCAAGAAAGAGAGCTTCCCCAAACCAAATCCCTTTTTGTTTGGTACAAAATATGTTTTTTTCTCAGCCAAATACTGGTCGCATGGTTACATTACCGCAATTGTTCGTTTTCCATACGAATGGTTAGCCAACCAAAAACACATCCCCACAACAAAGGGTTGCTTGTATTTCCTTGTTGTTTGGTGGCTTCCCCATTGCTCCCCCAAAGAAAGGCTCACCATCATAGATGTCCTTTTTGGGTTTTTTAGAAAATAGATGGCGATCCCTGGCTGACTGGGATTCATAATCTACCCAAGCCATCTGGCTGTGGGTCAAAACGAATGGTATCCCATGCTAGAACCTTATGTAGTGGTTGGATTGGTTGACGTTCACTGGGGGCTAACCGATTTGGCTTTTGACCCAGGGCCATCTATTTTCCCCACAACAAAGGGTCATGTCCTTTTTGGGTTGTCTTTTTGGTTGAAAATAGATGGCGATTCCTTGTTAATCTACCAGGGCCATCGATTTTTCGACCAAAAAACGGCCACCGCTGGAGCTCGCCTTTTCGACCAAAAGGACTCGCCGGTGCCTGTGGCTCGCCGGCCCGCCGGCTCGCCAGGCTGCGGCTATGAGGCTCAGACCTGGTCCTTCTCCGTGCCGGAGAGCGACGGCCTCATCCAGACCACCCCGCTGATCGCGGTGCAGAAGGCGCGAAAGTGACGCTTCGTGGTTCCTTTCTGGCTAGGTCCCCCAGTGCCCTTTTGCTTTTTTTGGGTTGGGAGGGTTCCCCTAATAAATAGACTAAAAGAGGGTGCCCTTATTCTAACCTCTCCACTGGAGGACCCAGCTGGTTTCTAGAATGCGCCTTTTGCAGCTTTTTTGTGGACCTCGCCTGTTCTTGCCCCCTGTAGGCTCTTTATAGTACTCTGTGAATATCTTACAGGGGTGCATCCGCAAAAGACACGTCCAAACCGTTTTCTAGATGGTGTGCCGCAAGGCGTGAGCTTCCTGTGCAGGATGAGGATGTATCGGGTGTCTTCTCTTTTTTCAGGAATCAGACATCCCCAAGAACACACAATGATACTGTGGTTTTCCCCTTGCGGGTCCCTGTAAGCCAGACAAAAAGGGGTACCTTCAAGAAAGACACACCCGTATGATAGGCCCATATGGGCGCAGTGGATTTACCGGAGAGGATAGATTTGGATATTGGGGACCCCGGATCCGACCTGTTGGTTTCCCAGTTTGGCAACATGGTTTGATTTTCCATGAGAAATGAGAGTGGCATTTTTGGAGGGACCTTGAGGTTGGGCGTATGTTGAACCGAAGGGACACACTACAAGTTGTTGGCTGGTTGTCTTGGCACAGCTAGATTGGTTGTTTGGAGCTTGAGAAGTGGTTTCCCATTTAACCTGCTAAGCTGGGTGTACACACAAAGCCCCGTTCGCGTTTGCTGGTTGCAGATTGAGCTTGGGGTATCCACAAAAAAGATGTGGCGGTACAAGGCCAGGAGTGCTGGGTGGGGCAAAATATGATTTAAACACCACCTTTACAAGGGAAGAATCATCATAACCGTTTAACCAGTGGTTTAAACATGTTTAAACCAATGGGTGGCCCCACCCTAACTAGAAGGGTCCCCCAAAGATGTGGCATTTGTGAAATACATGTTCAATCAGGGGCTTTGTTGTTTTGCCTAGCCCCGGAAGATGGTGGTTTGGAGTGCCTTTTGCCAGACTTAACTTACCTGATTCTGCCTTTGGGGTTTTCCTTCATCTTCCTGTTCGACTTGATTCATGGGGTTCTAGCCAAGCATACTGGCATCTAGGATTTCATAATTACTTGGCTTGCCTTAGCAAGTTTGCGAACATGCCGATTCCAGAGTACCCACCTGGTGGATTCATCGGTGTCTCGGAAAGCGAAGGAGCTCTATCAATCAAGCAGGGGTTTATTGATCCGGGTTCCAAGCAGCGCATTTGTCCGCCTTCTGCCAAAGTCAACGAATCTTTTTGTTGATCCTTGCTGGTTCTCGGACTGAGTTGGAAGAACCCCAAGGAAAACCATGCTCCAGGGTTCCTTTGAGGGAGTTCCTAGATCCATTCCCAACACCCTGGACCATTCCCTGAGCACCAGCAAGCAACATTGCTTGTTGGGAGGCCTGATGTTTCTTTTGTAACTGCCCAAGCGGTGTACATGGAACCAAGAAGCAGGGGTCCCTGCTGCAAGGCCTCAGAAAGTGGATCGTTTCTCGGTCGGTCCATTTGCGCCATCTGAGTTAGGTGCACGTCGGCACGGCGGGTGGGAAGTTCTACGCGGTGCACATGCAGAACGGCAGCCTCTCTTGGGAGTTTCAGGCAGATGGGTCAATTACCTCGCCACTCTGCAGAAGGAGAGCAGAGGGGTGAAAGGGAAGGGGAATTCTCGTACGGCCCGTTAACCTCTGCTCACCTTTCCTCTCGCACGCCCTCCAAGATGAGAATGAGATAGAGGAGAGGCAGAGAAAGGGAGAGAGATGGGAAAGGTGATCTCTCCTCCTCACTTGGCCTTCCTTCTGGGACGGAGGGTGTGGCAGCAAGGAGAAAGGGACATAAGAAAGAGAGAGAGAGGGAGAGAGAGAGAGAGGGAGAGAGAGAGAGAGAGAGAGAGAGGGGCAGAGAGAGAGGGAGAGGGAGAGAGAGAGGGAGAGAGAGAGGGAGAGAGAGAGGGAGAGGGAGGGAGGGAGGGAGGGAGGGAAGAGAGAGACTCACTCGCTTAGCCGCTATTACGTGGACTGACTAGCGAAGCGACCCTTGAGTCACAGCTCTTAGGCGAGGAATGGAGACGAGCCAAATATCAGGGTTTATTGTTTGCATACGGTTAAGAGGTAGGACATGATGACGAAGGAAATGGCCCCTCGTTACGATCTACCGTCACATCCGCAGCCAAACATTTGGGAGAGGCTTGGCGCGGGAGAGGCTTGTGTCGGTTTTGCCACAAAGCTCAAGCAAACGAGCAACCTCCCGTCCAAAGCATCGGGCCAGTTCGGCCTGGAGTACTGTCCCCT